TTTTCGAGAGAACTCCAGCTACATTCCACACGTCGCCATCTTCCAACGCAACGGTACTTTTCCTTTTCTCTTTTTCACTAGTCCTCCTATTTTTAGAAATCTCCGCTAGGCAACCTGCCAGCCAATCAAGAGTGATCACTGCTGACCTACAAGCCTTATCGAGCATGACCTTAGTTCGGGTGTGTTTCCTCTTAGGTTCGTCCTGTCTCGTTCCTTGTAACTACGGTTTCTTGTTCCCGCATATCGGCCGTTGCTATGCAAAGGTCGGCGAACTATAGCCATAATTAGATCGGTGTATTGCATACTGCACTCGCACAGCATTCTCACACACAGCGTTTATGACACCTCTCATTAATAAAATACAGATGCAAATATATCTGAATAAATCACTTATGTCACCAAAACCCCAGGTGTGGCATGTATGAAATGCTTTGGTTATTATTTAAATTTACACTTGCGAAATAGTTTTAAAAGTCATTCATAACCACGTGCTCAGCAAAAATCCAGTAGTCTAAGAACACATCACACTTTTGGATGACTACCCATCAGGTTTTGAATGTTTTCTAGAAGAATTACTTATAATGTTTATCCTGTGATTTTTCTAATTCGCCTGAACGTTGTTGAGATAAAAGTGAGAATAGCAAACTTGAATCTGAATTATGTGTTCTTAAATGAGTGATAATTTGCATATACAAATTAGAAATATGTTTTTGAATGTGGACGCACTTAGAGGAAATGACTGTGGCAATGTTGAAGTTAGGCACTGATTGTGGGTTGGTTACCTTGCGGTATATATGTGTATTTAGTAAGCATGTTTAGTAGCTTAGTTGTGATGCACAATTCATTAATTACAGTAAATTATGCGATACTTTCATTTCAGATACCTATAACATTCATATTTAGCTCATGTTTTGCGATTTATAAACATAGCTATTTTAAACCAAACTAGTCGTGCCTAAAGTCAACACATACACCTTTGAAATTCATCATTTATGTTCTACAACATGTATGTACGTGGATATGTTCTGACAAATATTGAAAACTAGCATTGTTGCAGTGACACACTTATTCCTCGACAATGACGTGAAAATGTGGTGCGTGTCGATTCTTATAATAACAGTTTATCTGGCCTATCCGAAATACGTAATTCTATAGCTGACCTATGAAATGTGTCAGGTGATCAAATATAATGAGCGCCCTCTGTGTCAGTGGTTGCGTCTTGGTTGTAAAATGCAAACCAGAATACAAAATAATCTAGTTTTATCTGGATTTGTAAATAAGGCGTGGTAATCCCCCTCTTATTATTAGGATGCTACACACTTCACCTATGATTGTTGATATATTGAAAATAATAACAAGCAGTGGTGTTGTTTTCCAGGGCACAGAAGGCGTTAAAAATGTTCTGCAGATTCTGAAAAATGAATTGAGTTTAGCAATGGCGTTATCTGGTAAGATATTTAATATATTCATATTAGTATAATCACAACAATAACAACTAATATGTACCTATTTAACATTCATGTTATAAAGTT